ATTATAGCTGGTTCTTGATCGAGAGAGAAAGGGACGTCCGGTTCTTGTGAATCTTCCATCAACATTTTCGGAGAGAGAAAGCAGTTGATTTTTGAATTTTAGCGGGAGCGGGGCTTTATTAATATTTTATATAAATATAGTTAATAAAAAAATTAATATTTATTTCATAAAAAAACAAAAATTAAAATATCATAATTCACGCTAATTCTTTACATACAAAATATTTTTTAATTTTAATTTTTATCATATATAAATTTTATTATAATTTAAATCATATTATTTTTATTTTTAATATTACATTCGTATTGTATCACCTTTAACTTATTTAAGATTATCAAATTTAATTTTATATTATAATTTCGTTTTATTTTTTTCATTTTTATTTCCTCTATGTTCTTTTTTTTTTCTTTTACATTAGCTTTTTCCCGCTATTTTGTTTCATTTTTTATTTTCCCCCTCATTTTACATTGTTTCTTCCCTTTTTTTTTAATATCATTTTCTCAGCTCTTTCCTCGCCAAGCCTGTTTCTTAATTCACTTAGTTAATTGGTTTGCTACCACTGCCTTTCCAAAAAAATTTGCAAAAAATTAAAAAGAAAATGAACCATTATGAAACAAAAATCCTGATTCCATCAGCTTATGACTTACCAAACCAGAAAGGAGTCTTTGAATTTCAACCTAGGTACTTTGAACTTTGAAGTGTGGGCTGAGACAAAAAAAAACAAAATGAACCATGTTCTCAACCTAGGCAATGAGTATATGACCTGAAATTCAGTACACAAACATATCCAACTGTGACCTGATTGAATTCACAAAAGGAGAAAAAAATTCCTGTCTAAATATATTCCTACTGAAACAGGGGATCCTCAAACTTACATTCTCATCATCATATACCTTCCTCTCCCTATAAAATGTAAAAACTCAGACTGACCTCTTTGTCGCATCCCTTATTTCGTTCAAGGAACGCAAATACCTCTCCAACGCAGCGGCGCCCCCAAAGAATGATATTTGCTATCCCTTATTTCCCCAAATATCGTGGGGTCTGACCTCTTGTTGATGAAATTTATGGAAAGGAAAAAGAACCGAAGGACCAGAGGATGTATAACAGGATACAGAACTCACACTGAGGGGATTTCCCGTACTAGAAACCAAAGTGTTTCAACTATTTTCTACAATCAAGATTGCACAGCCAACCTCTGAAGATGCTCGAAGAAGACTTGTAAGCTTACATCATCCGTAAAGATTATATCTGATCCAACAGCTACATCGGTGGCATTATTGTATGTTGCTGATGGGTTCAACTTTGCTAACAAAAATCTTGCCTGCACAAGGAAACAAAAATAAGCCACTTGGGTAATGTAAAAAGCCCAATTTATTTTTTTTTTTAAAAAGAGTTAACAATTTTATGCCTTCAAGGTAAAATACAGAATTGGCTTGGTGAGTAACAAAAAATGGAAAGGGAGGGGGGTATTGAATTATTAATATTAGAAACTTTGGCTTTGCAAATCAAGTACAGAAGCTCGATTAATGGACCCAAAAGTAGCAAAGCCACAATCATGACACCCCTCTTTTTTGTGGATTTGATTAGAGGGATTTGGCATGGTTCAATTCAGACCCAACACTTGTGAAACTTTGGCTCACTGCATCTGTTACATTGTGAACGAAGAATTCACAACATAGAAAACCAGTTACTGGTATCTGTGCAAAACTGTACAGGAAAACATGCAGCCACATAATACTGCTAAATGGTAAATGATTTCCCCAAGTGCCCTTTAGGTGTACCTAAAAAGGTGATACTCATACTAAGGGGCAAGGATAGCTTAGCTCAAGACAGCCTAGCTTTTCAAAATCATTGTATGATAGATAACAAAGGAATATATTTGCATCAGGATATTCCAAACTAGATAGTCAGTAAGGTCACAAAAAAAAAAAAAAAAAACACCGAAACAATTGGTAAGGTCCCCAATCTACTGCTAACCAGTTCAAATTCACTATAAATGGGAAAAAGCAACGAAATAAGGAAATATTAAGATAGCTATATGCTGCTACCCAACCGTAACATCAGACTGAAGGAAAAGGTCGAGATGAACACGAAACTAGATGAATAGAAGAATATAGTGATCACATCATAGCGGAAAAAAAAGTTATCAACGCTAAACCCACAGAAGGTACCATGAACCAGAAATGCTGAATGATCAAGCTAAATTGTAACAATAAAACAGTCTGTGCTTGCTACCTTTATCAAGCTTCTGAGGATTTGTGCAAAGAATTCGGAGCAAATTAGATGTACTTGCACTCTCGGTTTAACCACCATAACAAATGTACTTTAGAAAGTGGTAAATTTCTTAAAGATTGTGTTGCAAATTTAAAATAAATTCAGATAGAAGCGACACTTTGTAGTAGCATCTATTTAAAAATGATGAAATTCACAAAGGACAAATCAAGGACATATTTTAATATCTCCAAAAATATCAGTTTAAGAAATGTACTGACTGGGATCCATGCTGATCACATACAACCAATCTAGGGACAGGGAAGCGTTCCCGAATAATCATCTGGGGCATCGACATGGGGTGCTTGCAAAAGCTGTGGCAAATGCCTGTTGAAAAAAAAAATTAAGGTTTAGACAACAGAATCATAGACTGTAGGAACATAGATATTGGGTACTAACCAGTTGGAACTTAAGCTGCATTAGAACTTCATTGAAGAACAGGCAAATTCCCAACAATCTAATATAATATTGCAAATTCAGAGCTTAACAAATAAATGGACATTGCAAACAAAATATGCCATATACCATATCTCTCACCCCTGGAACAAGTCCCTATGTTCCTCTATTATACAAATTTTAACTCTCCCAAAATAACAGAAGTGCAAAAGTACAAGAAGTACATCATATAGCAAGAAAATTGAAGTTCAAAACCAGCACCTAGGTTATAAGCCACTATATGACATAGGAGAAAGTCAGTAAGCAAAATACAAAAATTATCAATGAAAGTTCTTAAACCGGTAAAGATAGAACCAGGTTAAATAAAGCCAATTGCCTGGTAAGGATATCTTATTGGCATCCTCTTCCTATAGCTTAGAGTAAAGCATTGCCAGATGAACATAAAATGAGCAATTATTTAGCTTTAGAAATGAGACATTATAAAGTATGCATAAAACGCTTATTAATCCTATAAACTGGTCCAATATATGATGCCAGGAGTCATTTCAACAAACACGACTATGCACCAGCCTTATCCAACAAAGCATACTCTATTTTAGAAGAAATTCATAATATTCACTATATTTTAGCATATCATTATGATTAACCTCATAGTTTTCCATTTCAGAGCTACAAGGTGGTGGTACAAGGGGTTTTTCTTCTGTCAGTAGTTTAGGATAATATCCCACAAGAATGAGTAATATTATAATAAGAATAATAAAACTTTACTACTGGCTTAGAGAGACCTCAAAATCACCACAGCTCCAGCTTATCTCAAACTGAAAAGTGATCAAACATTATTATCTTAATGTAAAAAGAAGACCAACATCAGGCATGTTTCCTGAAAGTCACTTTGGAACATTATGAATGTAATGGTTTCTAAAGAAATCTTACATTAAACTCTAGATTAACAGTAGCATAAACAAAATAAACATACCTGGTGTTCCGGCTGATTCTGGTAGCCCATGTTGCGCCACTGCGCTATTGTCATACCATGGAAAACAACAATACTGAAATATGAATTCCAGCAAGAGAATACGGTCAGCTGAAATGGAAGCCACATCCAATAATGCTGGTTGGGGCAGCGAGTTGAATGAATATGATATTAATGATGGTTGAATCAATAACAGCTGCATTAGTTATATTTTCCCTGTTCATAACATTTCTAAAATAGGCCAAGTTTTCATCTGGACTGTTGTTAAAGAACCTGCCACATAAAACGGAAAGAAAGTTCATTTATGAACATAGGTCACATTAAAATGTTATATAAACAGTAGGAAATTAGAAAAAAGAAAACAATTTACCTGTACAAATTGTGACCAGCCGCAGATTAAAACATAAATTGAGGAAACAAAGACAAAGCAACGGGTTTAAGGTAAAAGATGGATGGATCATCTCTTCTGGTAGTCGCCAAAATTTGGAACAAGTCGAATGAAGATTCCGATTCTAACCACCGTGTAGCATCAAACCCCTCCTAATGAAACAAAAAGACAAAAATAATTAATGAGAAAAAATTATCACAAGCAACATTTAACCATGTTATTGTATTGGCAAGGGGTCAACAAATAATAGATAGAAAATATAAAAAAGGGGGCAGGTCAAGGCTAGGAGAAAAGCAAGTAGAGAGAACCACAAAACAATAGGGCAAAAAGTTAAAGAGAGAAAGTTCTTATCAATAATACAAATACAGAAAAAGAGTGGACATTATTTGATAAAAAAATCATAAATAATTAAGCAGAAGGTATCAGCTAAATAAGCTATAGGTTGACAGTGAATACATCCAACACAAGAAATCAACAAACTTAAGAAAATGAATATAAAGATTTTTTAAATACCTCTGTCTCCCATTTTCAGGGAAGCTATTCTTGCCATTACAACAGCCGCAGTCCTCTTGATCAAAACTCTTGTACTAGTTCCTAGAAGGAGATATTATTGAAAGTAAGCATAAATTAATTCCATCAAATTCTGCCAACGAAATAATCAATCATATATACAAACAACAACGCATATGGCAAGTGACATTTATATGCATTAGAAAAAAACCATGTCCTATACCCCCCAGCATAAATTAATTCCAACAAAAAATAATGCAATCATATATACGGATTCCAAGATGCATATGGCAGTGACATTTATACACATCAGACAACATACCATGTCTAAATTTAACACACCCTATAAACCCCCCCCAAAAAAAAAAAAAAACTCTTAAATGTGGCCAAATGGGACATATTTAACAAAACACAAAAATGGATGAAATGGAAAAAATGAAAATGACACTTATCTAAACTAACCTCTGCACTAACAGCACTGTCTACCCATTGTCTTGTCACAGTCGTAACTCGAAGCATCATTTTACCTTCAGGGTCCTGATAACTGCAATTAGATAAACAACATCACAATCAAATTCAGTGTTGTCAAGGGAACAAGATGGGCACTAGGCACTTGAACCCTTATATTGCCGGAGAGACAAGGTGCAAAAAAAGCCCTCACCCAAGTGAAATAAGGCGCAATATGTCTAAGCGTGTGTTTTTGTACATGTGCATCTATGTATATAATATGCTTAAGATTTCTGATAATAAACTCTTAAGGGTGATCCAGTTATCCGACGAAACATGCAAAATTTTCCTGTTCATTTTTTGGCCAATATGCATGATTTCGTTATGATCCCATGTTTATTGTTGAATACTCAAACATTGAGAAGTAGAGAGCTCAATATTGTCCTTTTTATTTTCACTACTAAAGGTAGAGTTTACGAAAAAATTAAAAATTAAAGAAATTAAAGAGAACTTCAACAAGGCAGGCTTTTTTGCGCCTACTGCCTTAAAAAAGTGCACCAGGTGTGGCACCTGATCAAATGCACTTAGAGGCACTTTTGTTATCTGGCACCAAGCACAACACCTGGGCACTTGCCTTAAACAACACTGATCAAATTACTAAAGGAACAAAGTAAAGAAACAATCAAATATATTTAACATTAAGGTAAATAAAAGGACCCTTTTGGGTGGTTCATGCAGCAAACCTAGTAAGAAATTGCAAATAGAGCTGTGGATTTGCAGCTCCTGGAACATTTGATCGCTCAGTTGATGAAAGATCAAATAAAACCGTCAAGCAAGTACTCCTGTTGAGACCACACATTTTCCATGCTGTAGTGTTCCCCTCCCCAACGACTGTGTCGGCGACATTAGGTCCTTTCTGCAACACTCATGCTAATCAGCTTAAATGCCCATAAATACAAGTAAATCCAGTCTACAGTTTAGAGTGTGTCTCTATATAGAGAGGCCAAGAGATGTTATTAAATTGTTAAATCATCCAACCTTCTCCAAAGATGTGCAAGGTCCAATGACCCCCTGAATCTTGATGTCTTTTGAACAGTTAATCTCGAGCATGCCACTAAAAAGAAAAATTAAAAAAAAAAAAGTAGCTTATAATAAGTTTGAAATTTTATACTACAGCTAAAATAGTTGAAATTTCTGGGTGCTCCAAACCATGCCATAGCCAATCATAAATTACAGATAATGCATGTGGATAAAAAAGCTTAAGCTAAAGCAATTGCAAAATTAAAGCTAATGCCGGACCATATAAATTAATTTCATGGGTAACCACATGGTAGTGAGAGTTCATTTCTGGCAATCAGCATTAAATTTAAAATCAGGATTTTAACAGAAATCAACAATAACACTCCCACTGCAGCGTCATAATACTAACACCTCTTTCAACAATACAAGCACAGGCATTGGCAACATTTAGAAAACCTATGAAGCCAAAAGGGTAACGCCAATATAGAATACCAGTGTATAGTAATTTTCATATACCAATTTGATAAACTTGTGCTCTGCTTCCAGCAGAATAGCAAGGTCAGCAAGCTATGTCAAAAATTTACATTCTCTAACAGCAGCATCACCTAGTGTGAATGGTGTCACAACTAAGTTAAAGGCACACGGGGTGGTTGGCACATCTAGAACTCAAACAAATAATACAAGGACAACTAGAACTGGAATAAAAATGCAAGTTCACCAATTAAGAATGCAACTATATAGTTATCAACAACATGGATAAGAGAAGAGAAAAGTAAACCTAAAAAGTTGAAAAAGAACAAGAAGTTTTGGTGTGGTGACAAGAACTAACTTAAAACATAGGCCAAGAGACTGTTCTCCATCCTCAAAGACACGCTTGAAAGAGTCTTTGAATACAGAATGACCAAAACTTTCAGCTAGAACAACAAGGCCACCTGTCCTTTCAACTGCAACTTTCATTTCAGCAACTCCAACCTGACAACACACAAAAAAACCATAACATATTTATGTACAGTTAACATTTAGAAGATTATTAATGTCTGAAATTATTGACATTCATTTAAAATAAAAGGTTTGTACCCATGGTAAATGCAATAACTATTAGAATCCAGTCATCCACAGTTTTCTACACAATAAAACATTTACATCACAGCCCACAAATTGAAGAAGCATGGCAAAAATCAAGCCTTAATGTCCTCATATTTCCACTGTCTTAAATAATTGGTAAATTATAAATGAGAGAGAGAGAGTTTTGTAAAGTAAGAATTACATATTGGGTTGTTCAAGTTTCCAAATAAAATTAGGGTCCTTGTATCCTATCAGCTTCAGCAGCTTCTTCAATCCATCGGACCGATTAAGAAGGCGGGAAAGAACCAAAAAGTTTTGTCTAATGACTCCATCCTTATTAATAGAGTGATGCAACTTCTAACTAGGTTGGACAGAAGATGAAAGCCAACACATTATAGGTATGACATAAGTGCATTGAAGCAAATCAACCTAGTTCTGGCATATAGACAGATTCATGAACAAAAATGAGTTTAAATATAAATATAGAACCTAAAAGGTGGCCAAACAGACCTGATCAAGTGCAGATGCAAAAAGGTCTAGTACATGACCCTGGCTGACCAGCTGTTTTGCAAGACTATCATAAAATTTGACCGCTTTCTTAAAATATGGTGCAGCATCCTTATCCAGATCTTTATGTGAACGTACAGGTTCTGACAAGTCTTTCGATACAATCTGCAAAAATCATATAAATCAGTATCATCTTGATGACAACCAAGAATGTTAATACAAATTAAACAAGAAGCAATGCTCAAATGAAGATTATTTGCTTAATCTCCATTTTCTCAATTAAATCATTGTTGCGTATGAATTATTCCTACAACTACAATGTAATTAAGAACGACACTTGTCTTGCACAAAGAAACAGCAAACATTAAGGCAACAAGCCAACAAGCTATATGAAACTATAGGGTAACATGAAAGTTTGACAAAAACGTTGTAGACATAATGGAGCTAACAGGAATAATCTTTATGAAATAAAATTTCTCTTTTTAACCAATTGTACAAAGTAAATGCACCAACATTCAAAGCTAATCAAACAAAGATGGAGCCTCTAAACATAGCCATGTTTCATATTACAATGGGCTCCAGTTGTTGTGATCTGTCTACAAATTCATTTTGCTTCTGTATGGATTGCCTGCAGCTTTTATCAAATATCATCCCCAAAAAACCATGGGACAGAAACTTTACATTATTTACACAAAAAAAAAAAGTTGTAACCATAGAGAAAAGTAAAATGCAAAAATATATTATTGAAACAACAGCAAATGGAACATTCAGGATTGCAGCAAAAATAAAGTTCATACTAATTACAACATACCATATCCATCTCAACCATCACATATTATTTGCGTTAGATCCCATAAACTACATACAGTTCATGAGAAAACAAATGATAAATGCCTCACTAACGATTGTATCACTTAATTGTAGAATAGCTACGAATTCAGAATCTAAACAGAGACTTTAATGGCATTACCGTGCCTGGCCCTTCAGTACATGGGCCACCAACCAAAGCAACAATCCTAGCACCAGTACCGGGCAAGCAGGCTCCAAGCAATCCTACTGCAACACTTAAGGCCACTCCGGTGCACCTCAACGCCCGGTGTCCCGCTTGTACAGGCCATTGATCCGTTTGCAACTCATCCAATAACTACATTAAAATCAACCAACCACTTAATAAAAAAATTCAAACATTTAAAAAATTAATTCCCACGACAAAAAGAAAAATCAAAACGCACCGAATTGAGAGTGTATTCGCAATCTGAAGCAGGCAATAAAAACCGGTTAACGCCGGTATTTGTATATCCATTTTGCAGGCCCTTCGGATACCCAGCGGTTGGCCGCCGCCCAGCAGCACCGAGGCCCAACTGCTCCAACACTTGCTCCTTGGAAATCTCCTTACTACCCCTGAAAACATAGACCTTCGACATATCCGAGAACCCCAATTCATGGACCTGTGCCTGAGTCCCAAAAGAAACGAAACCGACAAGCGCGTGTTCTGGCAATAATCCAATAGCCTGCTTCATCGCCGATTTAACAAACCCAAGCTCCTCCTCGATCATGCACGTGTCCAACACGAACACAAACACTGGTGGCAATTGAGGAGCATTGGAAGGGTTGTTTGGATCGGGATTCGGTTGGAGCGTGTACTGCACAGTGGTGTATTGCGGGTAGAGTTCGCATGGCAGGTTCGTTTCGGAGATCATAGCATAGTGAGGCGGAAAATGGTTACGCTGGTAACAGAACGGGCAGATCCAGATCTTGGCCGTGAAGTCAACGCGCGAGTAGGCGTTGAGGACGGCGGAACACGTCTTGCATCGTAGAGGAGCGTAAGGGAGCGTTGGGATATCCGGGTGTGAACGGATCGGAGTAATTGAAGCCGCTAACGGAATCACACACTTGCTGGCTTCGACTTTGGTGCGCGGCCAAACGTTCCACGTCATCCGTACGGCGTCTATCCCTTCAGGATCCGCGTTCGCCATTTCCGACGAAGTTGAAAATTAATTGAAAAAACTGAAAACAATTTTTTTAAAACTTGATTTGAATATCAATTTAGGAATTGAATGAGAAAATTAGGTTCTTTTTTTCTTTTTTTTATTTTTTTTTTCTGATTTTGGGCGACCCCCCAGGAGAAACTGGAGAGAAAGGGGTCACCGAGAGACAAAGAGAGAACGGAGGAGCTGTGTTTTGAAAAGCGAGAAATGAACTTGCACTAAAAAGTGGGTATTTATAGGGAAGATTTGTAATTAGGGGAGGTTACGTGCTTTCCATTCTTGTACCGATGCATTAGGATTTGGATTTCTTTTGGATTATTTTAGTACAATAAAATCCCTCAAATTTTGCTTCAAGATTCAACAATCACGTTCTAGTTTGCTTTACATTAATATTTTTTTTTAAATACATTAATATTAATTTTAACTATTAAAAATCAATCTAATTAATCAATTAAATATTCTTTTAATTAATCATTATCAAAATCATACTGAACTTACTTGACGAAGTTCAATTGGTTTCGGTTCATTAAATTGATTAAAATTGATTTTGCTCATTCCAAATAGTTATTTAAGTTTATGATCTGTTTCGATAAATAGTAAAATTAAAAAAAAATAAAGATTCAATTAGTTATTAAATTGATTATAATAATATAAAATTAAAATTAATTATGGATATATGTTTGAATGTAAAAATAATTTGATCTTGAGATGAATTACAATTAAATAAAAAATAATTATTAAAGATATTAAATTAAAATTTAAATGTAATAATAAAATTTAAATTATTTAAATTTTATTAAATTATTTTATATTAAATATTAATTTTGTTAATAAATAATTAAAATTAATAATTTGATCTTGTTAAACAAAAACCATTTGAAAACTTTTAAATAAAAAATTTAAAGGAAGACAAACGAATGACAAATGTTGAAAAAATAAAATAAAATGAGGTTAAATTTGAAAGGCTAAATTACTATAAAAAAAAATCTTGAACGATTCTAATTTTTTAAATAAAATTTTATATTTTTATTGTATCTAGATGAATTTTTATCATTTAATTTGTATCACAATTAGCATCTCTAATCACAACTCATCGAGGCTATTTTTAAATCCAAATCAAGTCTTAGGGAATTTTGTTATTTTAAATTAATAAAATTAAGCATAAAATTAGAATAAATTCGCTTAAAATAAGATTTGAACTCAAAACTAAATATCCCAAATTTTAAAACTTTCAAATTATTTTTGAATCTTAAATGGGCTAAGTTCATTTCTAAGACAAAATGCTTTCCTGATTGGACATCCTACCACCTTCTGTCGGGCATCCAACTGCCCAAATGTATTTTTATAATAGAAGTTATTGAATCTTAAATAAATTTATTAGATATTATTTTATAAAAATGATTTTATAAAATAATTAAATAAAATCTTGAATTTACTTAAGAAATAACTTTGCTAGACATAATAATAAACCCCCTAAAAAAAAAAATAGCATGGTTGAAATGAGAATATTAGGTTAGATATATAAACATGACTTTAGAAGATAGTATTATGAAGCATTATAGAAAGAGATGGGTGGTCAAACTTATTAAAAACAAAATCAAAAGTGATTTGGACATTATGAGACAAACAATTAAATTTATTACAAGTTGTGACTTAATGAATAACATGTTGTCTCAAGCTTTAGACAAAACCAACTTTTGTTTCAAAAGAGTTCCATGCTTTTGTAATGATTTGCTCCAAATTTACTAAAAAACCAATGAAATTTTTTTTTTTGTCTAAGATCTTCAATGTCAAGTAGCTATTTTGAATGTTAACTAATTTAAAGTTGAATCAAATCGGATCTTATAAAAAAATAAATATTTTTAATAAATATTTTTTTATTTATAATATTCAAAATCAAAATTTTATATAAAAAAATTAAAATTTTTAATCACTCCAACCAATAAATGTTAATTAAAAGCCAATGAAATTAGCAAAGAGTTAAGTAGAAATATCCAATAGGGGCAATTGATTTGGCTTAGAGATTCTATGACTTCGAACGTTGCAATGAATATTATGGCAAGGGCATTTGAATTTTTTTATAGAAAATTTAAAAATTTTGTTGTGTCGTTTCAAAAGTGATGATTATTCATGAATTAAGAGATGTTTATTTGTAAAATGGTATATTTAATATCGATTGAGACTTATAAATGATTTTTTAAATATTTATTTTCTTTTACATGAAAGTTATTTTATATTTTATTATATATTGTATTATATATAAGATTTTAAAATGTTATGTAAATTATATTGTATTTATATTATATTTAAAAATAAATTAATAGATTAGATTAATTTGTTTTATTTCATTATAAATTTTAAAAATCGGTAATTGATCAAAGTAACTGAATAAAAAAATTTTCTAATAGATTCATATCAAAATTAAATAAAACGAATGAAATTATTTAAATTAAGTTATTTTAAAATTATAATTATAATTAAGTATTATATTCATATAAATAGTCAAATAATCAATTATTCTATTATAATAAGTTACAATCGCTAAATAATCAACTAATAATTTAAAATATAATTAAATAATTAAATTTACATGTAATAGGATTTGAAGCTTATAGTTTTTGTTTGAATTTACTAGAATGAGAAATTATTAAATATATTGAAAAACAAAATTTTTTAATTTCATAAACAAAATTAAAATAATAACACAAATATTTTAGTATATATTTTAAAAAATAAAGTATATATTCTTATCTTATCTTTGATTATACAATTAAAAAATTTTATTGCATCAAATAATTTATCTTACTCGAATTATATATAAAAAAAAATAATCAATTAATTAATTTTTAAATTAATTGACATATTATTAAAATTAATATTTAAATATTATATAATCGAAAAAATTTAAATGCATAATATTCTCTTTAATAAATTATGTTGTTAGATAAAGAGTTTAAAAGTAATTTAAGAACTTAAAAAAAAATCAAATTATTTAAATGCCATGCCACGCACCAATAGATCCTAAGGCGCTCTCATAGAAGCGCGAAGATCTCAATTAGGGGTATAAATGATACATTAGTATTCATAAGTTATTTCGGATTCGATTCGAAAAAAATTCGAATTCGGTTCAATTATTGTCGAGTGAGCTCGAGCTCGAGTAGCTCGATTTATCGATCGAGTCGAATTTGAGTATTTTTATATCTGATTCGAGTAGCTTGCGAGCCTAATCGAGCTTTTATATTTAAATATATGTTTATTATTTTAATTAATAAAATATTTCGAGTTCGAATTCGAGCATAAATAATCGAACTCTTGTCGAGTATACGAATCGAGCTTATTTTTACATATTAATCGAGCTTAATCGAGTGAGCTTGAGTAGCTCGAATTCGATCACAAATCGAGCTCGAGCTTCAAAAATAAAATTCGATCGAACTCAAATAAAGTATCGAACCTCAAATTATGAGTCAAGTTCGAGCTCGAGCTTCTCACTATTCCCCTCGGCTTGGCTCGTTTACAGCCCTAATCTCAACGACAGTGTCAAAGGCTCTAAAAAGAGAAGGGAGAATTCTGGAACTATCTTTAGACTGTTAGCTTTTAGAGCCTCTGGACTCTCTCCGTCTTCACCTTTAAATTCCTGTAGTTTCAGATCACTTTGCATTAATCAGAGAAAGACCTTCAACCATGTGCTAATTGCTTAACTCAAAAGCTCAAATTTTCCTCTCAGCTAATCTCGCAAACCATGAAAGACGATTTCGAGTTCCCAACCGCCAACAACATGGATGAAGAAGAAGAAAATATGGACATCCCACAAGATGACCCCGTTAACCCAATCCTCAAAGTTGGTGAGGAGAAAGAGATTGGGAAAAATGGACTGAAGAAAAAGCTGCTTAAGGAAGGTGAAGGATGGGAGGCCCTCCAATGTTGATGAAGTTAAAGGTAATGGCTCTCTTTCTTCTTCTTCCTTCATTGCTTTGGTTGTCCTTTTTCCTTTAGGATTTTTTTTTTTCGGGATAAGTTATATTTTATTTATCCAAAAGAAGCAATAAAATTACTACAGTACATACACTCCATAGATACAATTAAATCATATTCTAATTATTATGCAATATAGCTTTATTTATATTTCAAGCATCACACAAAACTTTGTTGATTGGGTCAACAGCAATTGAATGCAATTTACATAATCGAGTCCTAATAGTTTCCTTAATCAGCTCATACATTTATTCTTCTGTTACTTCTTTGTTCTTGAATTTTTTAAGTTTATGGGTTTGTTGGTTTTTTTGCAGTGCATTATACTGGAACTTTGCTTTATGGAACCAAGTTTGATTCCAGCCGGGATAGGGAGACTCCTTTTAAGTTCAAGCTTGGCCCAGGTGAATAATTTTACTCATCTAATTTTCTTTTATTTTAAATGCATGTTCAGCTTCATTTCTTAATGAATTTAGTTACCTCTCTGTTAAAGCTGGTGTTCTTATCAAGGAAGTGTAAATCACTAATTCTTAAGTTCGAAGTTTAACTCCTTATTTGTTTTCAGAAATCACTGTTCCGAGTTCTGATTTTCAAGTGTTTCTGTCATACATTTATGTATTTATTATTATAAAGGGTTAATGTGTGATTTAGCTCTTGAATTATATCACTTTTCACAATTTAGTACCTATAAAAGAAAATTCATAGTTAGAGACTCGAATTTTGTTTTCGTCAAACATCACGTTTTTATTGGTTAGTATTTGTGATACCAACATTTGACTAACATCCTTAGTCAAAGGTGTAAAATGCTTGATGAAAACAAGTACGATTAGAATGAATTTTTTTTATAGGTACTAAATTGTTAAAGTAGTATATTTTAGGTGCCAAATTACATACTAACATATTGTACAGTCATATCGCTAAGAAGGTGACTCCCCATATCTTTTTGAAACTGCCTAGCATTTCTGAATAGTCCTTGCAACTTACCCTTTTGATAATAACAGTGTAATAACTTAATAAAGTCTGATGAATTTTGTGATAATCATAGAATAATGAGTTGGATGATATATGGAATACTTAATGAATGCTTGTTTTTTTAAAAATTGTTGGCATCAACTATATTCTTCTTATCAAATCTGAATTTAGATAGGACTAAGTTTTAAGATCTTTTTCATGTCTGATGCCTAAGATCTGTGTTCGATTGAAGCCGTGTAAAATATATTACTGTCTGGTATGATATTTGGATGTCTGTCTTTCCTGGAAGCATTGAGAGAACAAGTGAAATCTTTCAAATTTCAACAGTTCAACGGAGATTTTCGTTGACTGTTTTGGTTGTGGAGTGTCTGTCTGTAACAGCATGAACTGCATATGCTCACTTGTTTCTCTCCTTAAATTGCACGACAAGTAATCAAGGGCTGGGATGAGGGTATCAAAACAATGAAGAAGGGTGAAAATGGGACAAGTAACGTGCAATCTTAATAATGCTGCTTGCAAATTGAAACTCAAAGATTACAAGCAGGCTGAGCAACTGTGCTCTAAGGTTGTTAGCTTTATTGGCATTTAGAATTTGTCTTGATGAAATGTCAATGTTAATTCACTCATGCTGACAGTTAGGCATGTGTGATTTTATAGGTGTTAGAACTTGATAATAGAAACGTGAAAGCAGTATATCTAAGGGCTCAAGCATATATTCAACCTGTTGATTTGGATTTGGCAGAGGTGGATATCAAAAGGGCCCTCGAGACTGACCCTGATAACAGGTTTTTCTCTACTGCAAACTGTTTGTTATATCTGAATATGGTTACTTTAGTGATTTATCCGAGCGCAAGTCACTACATCCTGCCTTGTATGATTGTGAGCTGGATGGGAATGTATCTTGCATAAATGTTCTGGGGGAATATTTGCTTTGCCGCATTTGGGAAATACTAGATACAAGGACTATAAAACTGAAGTGGAAAGTACATGTAGGATAAGAAATCTGGTTGCATCATCTTTGGCCTCATGTTTTCACCAGTAAGTTGTTTTATTCCAATTGTTGTGAACTTGTGACTACAGTTGAAGTTAATTTATGTTTGCGTTGATACCAGAGATGTGAAACTGGAGTACCGAGTCCTAAAGGAGAAAATCGGGGAGCACAACAAGGATTCACAATTTTATGGCAACATGTTTGCAAAGATGAACAAGTTAGAGCAAGCAAAGGTAGCAAAACAGGAGCCAGCACCAATGGTCATAGACAGCAAGGCATGATGGCATTTGCCTCAAATCCCCCTTCCCCTCCATCCTGCCTCCCTTTCTTCCTTCCCAATGTTATAGAAGAGTAAAGGTGGAGTATTTGTTCTAAAATATATTACCATAGAATAGTAAAAGGTTCAGATAGTGCTAATCACTTGGTGTGCAAAGTCATCCATGAAGTTCTTCTAATGCATCTAAACAGGGATTCAAATAACGGTTTGATAGCGGAATAGCGGCCGCAAAATTGCGGTAGCGCTGCCTTCCACCACCGTTAATAGATAGAAAACGGTTGAGAAATTCATTCACAACAAAAACGGAGAGTAACGGCCGCAAAATAAAGGCGTAACGGGCAATAGCGACAATAACGGACCGTTATTGTCGCTATTCCGTTTTTCTACTCACGGATCTAATAATTCTAACAAAAAAATAAAATTTTAAGCCTGCAAAATAAAACAACAAACCTGCAAAAGTAAAAGTAAAAGCCAACTCAAAAAATAAAGCTCACAATCTCAGATCTTTATCATCAAAAGAAATTTTAAAACGAGCTAGAAAACAGATTAATTATTTCAAGTTTCAACTTTCAACCATTCAAACGGTATTTTCGGCATTCAAATTCAAATCAACTTCAAATTTTCAATCAACATTCAAGATCAAACAAGGTAAGAAAAGAAAGTTAAATTACCTTTTTTTTTTTGTAAAATTTTTGTAAAATGATCTGTTGTATTTTATGAGAGTTTGAAAGACGAACGAGATATCTGTAGATACTAGGTAAGTCAGCAAATGGTAGTGATAAAGGGATGTGAGAGAAAATGAGAGATGAAAAAAAAAAAATTTCTGGAAAGCCAGAGAAGGTAAGATGCAAGAAGAAGAAGATGAACAAAAAAATGGAGCGTTTCTAGAAGGGTTTGTTAGAAAGAATTAAACAATTTGATATATTAGGCACATGGAGAGATTGGATAGGGTGGGGAGGATTGGGTGTGGTGGAGTGTTGGGGGGGAAGGTGGGGAGGGATTGGGTGTGGTGGGGCGTTGGGAGGAAGCTGGGGAGGGATTAGGTGTGGTAGGGTGTTTGGAGGGTGGGATTGAATTTTTTTATTTAATTTTATAATTAATTTTTGAAAATTTTTTAGATAAAATTTAATTAGTAGTTTTGAAAATTTATAATTAATATAATATATAGATATTTTAAATGAAAAATTTTGATAAATTTTTTTGTATAAGTTAGATGAAAAATAATATTAAAATTAAATATTATATTTTGATTGTGTTATATATTAATTTATAATTTTGTATATGAATTTTAATTTTTTTTGTTGTTTTGATATTTATATTATTGTCAATTCTTTTGATATTATATTAATTCTTGTTATTTTTGTGTAATTATTGAAGATTGTGTTTATTATATAATTATTAAAAGTTGTTTGTGATAAAAAATTTTATATCAATTATTGTATCAAAAAAATTAAGTTACTTAACAATTTAGCATTTTATGATCTATTACTCTTATTAAGATTAAAACTAAAAAATAAAAATATAGGTTTGAAAATTTTATTAAAATATAAGTTTGAAAACTTTTAATTTTTGAAATTTTTTTTAGATAAAATCTAATTAGAAGGATTGAAGATTTATAATTAAAAAAAATAAGAGATTAATAATTTAATATGATATACATAGATATTGTAGATGAAAATTATTAATAAATTTTTTATATAAGTTAGACAAAAATTAATTAAAATTAAATATTATATTTTAATTGTGTTAGATATTAATTTATAATTTTGTATATAAAATTTAATAATTTTTTTTTGTTGTTTTGATATTTATATTGTTGTCAATTCTTTTGATATTAGATTAATTTTTATTATTTTTATGTAATTATTGAAGATTGTATTTGTTATATAATTATTTGAAGTTATTTGTGATAAAAAAATTAATATCAATTAGTGCATCAAAAAGATTAAGTTATTTAATAATATTCTTAAGATTAAAAACTAAAAATTAAAAAATTTAGCATAAAATCAATTTTTAATGATGTGATAAGTAATATTAATATTTGTAAATATAAGTTTATTTTGTTTTTATACAAAATAGTAAGTATGCCACCACGTGAAGAGTTTTCGAGTAAAGGAGTAGAGGGCGCGCCAAGTGATGATATAAGTTGGCATTTTGGAACACCTGTGCCAAATACAAGAGGAAATGTTTCATGTAAACTTTGTGGTAAAGTTGTAAAAGGAGGAATAACACGTTTCAAAGAACACATTGCTCATAAAACTGACAATGTTGCACCATGCCCCAATGTTACTGGTATGTTATGTTTTTTTAATTTCTTTGAAAATATTATTGTTAATTTCTTAATAAAAATTATAAAATTACATAAGCATGTGCAACTAATTTTCTCTTTTTTTTTAATTATATTATTAATAGGTATAGTAAGAGAAAGTATGATGAAACTCCTTCAAGAAAGTAAATAAAAAAAGGCTGACAACAAAAGAAGAAAAAATGAATTTTTATCACAATTAAGAGGGAAAGATGATTATGAAAGATTTATTGATGAAGATATTGCTACTAGACAAGCCGTGCGAGATAGTATCCAATCACAACATGAGTGACACAGAAGATAAGAATTCAGACAAAGAACTAGTGGTTGGAGTAACATATATGAAGAAGGACGAAGCCTTCATGGTTCAGTTGCTGAATATTTTGAAGAAAGAACAAGGAAATCAACTCCAAATGAGTCTAAATTTTCATTAAGGGGAGCTGTTCCTGAATTGGTTAGAAGTAAAAGTTCAAGACAACTAAAAGTAAGTGATTCATTTCTAAAGACATTAAGAAGAAAAATGGGTGAATCAGTATCAAAATTTTTGATATATGATCGACTTCCTTTTCAATTAGCAAATTCCCCATTGTTGCATAATTTGATTTCTATGACAGCAGAAGTTGGCCAACATGTAAGACTTCCAACACATTATGAGGTCTCAGATGTGTATTTAGAGTCTGAGTATCAACAAGTTCATGAATGAGTTAATGGATTAAAAGCTTATTGGAATGAATTGGGTGTCACTTTGATGTGTGATGGTTGGACCAATAGTTTGAATCAAATGCATATCATTAATTTTCTTGTTTACTGTAGTAAAGGGACTATTTTTTGAAAATCTGTAGATGTCTCAAGTGTTTGTAGTAGAGATACAAACTTTAATACAGATTATTAGATGAAGTTGTGAAAAAAATTAGAGAAAAATACATTGTTCAAATAGTCACTGATGACGAGATAACACTTAAGGCCGCAGGAAAAAGACTAATGGAGAAAAGAAAACATTTGTATTGGACAGTATGTTCAGCTCATTGTTTGGACTTGTGCCTTGAAGATATTGGGAGGAAAAAAATGAGGCAAAGGTTTTGGATGATGCAAAGAAAGTAACTTGTTTTATATATAATCACATTTGGACTGTTAATTTGATGAAAAAATATACACAAGGGAAGCAAATACTTCATCCTGCTCTTACCCGATTTGCACTCATTTCATACAATTAGAAGAAATAATGAGGCAAAAGCAAAGCTTGAGAGAGATGTTCAATTCAAAGGTTAGTACTTAGTAATTAGTACAATTATTTAAATCTAGCATCTTTTTATGATATTATTGTTTTAAAATATTAATTTAAAATATATTACTCTAAAAATTTATTGATGAATATATAGGAATTTAAAGATTCAAAATGGGGACAACAAAAATCAAGACCTGCTTATGAAGTCAAAAAAATCATTTTGGAAAAAGATTTTTGAAAAAAAGCAGGTGATATAATAAAAGTTTATGAGCATTTGGCAAAAGTGTTGCGCCTTGTGGATGGTGATGAAAAACCAACAATGGGCTTTATTTACGAGGCTGTGGATAGAGCTAAATAAGCAATTCAACAAACTTATCGTTATTCTGCTGAATATGAAAAGATTATTGACAATAGATGGAGTTTCATGCACTCTGACTTTCATTCAGCTGGTAAGTAAACCAAGAATATAGATGGTATTTAAAAAATATGTTTATTTTTTATACTTAAATTGCTTATATATTTATTTTTTATTACTTTAATATAATATTGTTATAAATTATGTTTATGTTACTATCTAAATCCACAATTTCAATTTGGAGTGGAACATTCTGCAAATGTATTTAAGGAAACATTAGAAGGTATAAAAGCAATTATTGAAAGATTAGAACCTTCGATAGATACTCAAATCAGAATGATTAATCAAGTTAGTATTTAATACTATTTTATAACTTTAACATTTGTTTTGTGTATTAAAAATTAAATTATTTTTTATTTATTCATTTATTATTGTATTTTCAATCGATGTAGTTGTTATTATTTTGAGACAAGCATGAAACATTTGGTAGTCCACAAGCACAAAGAGCTTGAAAGCAAATGAATCCAGGTAAATAGTAAGTTAAATAATTATAATTTATTTATATTATTTAATTGTATAGCCAATTGAAATTTAATTTAAATAATTTTATACAGCTGAGTGGTGGATGATATATGGCACTTGTGTTCCTGAATTACAAAAACTAGCAATCAAAGTGCTTAGTCAAACAACATCTGCATCAAATATTTTTGAAGATGATGATCCACTAACAGAATGGCTGCAAGAGAAAGAAAATCCTCTATTAGATGGTCAAAACTCTGATTGGTTGCCTGCAGATAATTCTGATAATGAAATGAATGTTGAACAATCACGTCAATCTCAAGAAAGGAATGTGTCTCATTCAAGTTCAAGTCCAACACCAAGTCAGAGTGATGATGGTGGTGGTTTAAGTCCAGATGGAGATGGTGATAGAGATGGTGATGGTGTGAATTTTAGTGATAATATGGATGCAAATCGACCTTACAGCCCACTTGGAGAAGAATTTAGGCTTGCTGCTACTGGTGTACTTTTTATTAATATGGCAGAATACGGAGGAAATCCATTTGCTAAATCTAGTGAGGGTCAAAGTGCACGTACAGCTCGATCAAAAGGAAAAGCAAAGAAGCACCACTATGAAATTTTTAGATGTTCTTCATCTTCAGGTGAGAGATCAAATTCTAGTAACTTTGAGTATAGTGAATCATCTGCTAGTACTCAAAGACATTACTATCCACCAGAACAACATAATTTTCAACCTCC